ACAGGGGGTAATTATAAAAAATATGAAAAATCAGATCGTAACGTTGTTTCCGGCCGGGCACGTGTTACACACGGTTATGTCACGACGGATCTTTTGAGAGACCGAGAGTGACAATCGGCCCGCATTCATAGAGGAGCGGGAATTAAAACTCGCTACAGCTAAACTCGCTACAGCTCGTTAATCCGGTTACACGCCGTAATAGCGCACGCGGAAGCAGCGAACAAAAACGTTATTCAATACCGGCCTAAAAAGAGAAAATGTAATCACGAGCTCGAGCTCGCGCCATGACGGTCGACGATTCCTTCGCACAAACGTTTTCACGGTGAAGTTACGGCGAAATGTCAGTATTCGTGCAAGTGCAAGGTCGACGAAAAATTTCCACGTAATTTTAAAAAAATTGAAAATTATGTAAATGTATATTAAATAGGGCGCACTTATATATTTTTTAATCAAGTTTTTTTTAATCAAGTTTAGGCAATAACTTTTGAATTAGTAATTTTTTTTTACAGTCCGATAGTAATAAATAATTTAATCGTATCGACACTTTTACCAAATTATTGATAATTAATATCTTTATCACATCATTTCGGACTATTTTGCGTGATAGATCATAGCAATCTGTATGCTGAGAACCGTAACACTGCATAAGAGTGTATAGACCTTCACTTTCGCTAGATGCATTATGTACACAGGGTGTTCCGTAACCAACAAATAATAGCATATTTTAAAGAAAAATTAACATTAAAAAGTTTAATATGAAATATAAAAACAGTTTCCAAGCTATAAATAATAAACATCATAAATATATAAACGTCACAAAAGTAATAAGTAAAAAGTAATAAGTAATAAGTAAAAGTTTTTACGGATGGAATTCGCGTACTCGTGTTTTAATTACACGTTATATCGCTCGATTATTTGCCATTACTATTCTATCTATTCTATTTAATCTATTCTATTTAATTTAATTCTATTTATTCTATTTAATGTATTCTATTTATTCCATTATTTATTATTCATTTTCATTATTTAGATAATATTGTGATTTCCTAGTTAGTGATTTAATTAACAATTAAATTCTGAAATATTAACTTTATTAGTTTCAACATTATTCTTGCTGTTTTGTTTTATTTTTTTCTCTTTTTCCTTAATTTTCTCTATATTACAAAAATAAAGTAATTCAAAAATTTATCGTTCATAAAATATTTTATAATATACCGGCAAAATATATAATATCATAAATATATGTCAATAATTAATTGTTGTAACTCAATCTTGGCTTTATGTATTCATTCATTCAAACGCTCTTTCAGAGCAATAAATCGACGAATGATCATAAATGATCTATTTATTTAAAAATAATGTCATGGTTATCCATGATTTTATCTTATTGATTTAATACGTGTCAGAAAATATGTTTTCACAAATTTGTTTCGTATATACATACACCACAGAACAAAATGAAATATAATGTAACAACTCACCGACATGATGCGCAGCAGCGGAGTTGGAAATTACATTGTTCTACATAGAAATGTAGAAATCAAATTATAGCAGCGCTCGAAATAATTGATATTTCAAAAAGTAATTACGCGAATAAACAACAAAACCTACTCACCCCAGGGTTGCTCCGCCGGTGCCCGACGCCTCTCCTAAACCTCCTCCTCCTCCTCTCAGATTGTCGGGGTCAGATTGTCGGTTTGTTGCACTCACACAATACTCGCGAAAACGCGGTTAATTACAATCGTGATATAATATAATATAAACTACAATTGCACATTATTCTCGATGTTAATCACGCAACACGCATTTTAAAATTAATGTGACAAAAGTAAGTAGAATTTAAATCTGCAAATTGTTTTAAATCTTCACATATTTATGTAATCTTTGTGTGTGTGTGTGTGTGTGTGTGTGTGTGTGTGTGTGTGTGTGTGTGTGTGTGTGTGTGTGTGTGTGTGAGACTAAAAGAATGTTTTAAATAAATCAGCGATATATGTAAAATTGATACACGTATAACGGCAACTTCAATTTGATACTACGCGCTAAATAAAGTCGAATGGTCAATTAATATGGCTGGTCTAAAAATGTGTAATCGAAATTCAGTACCGCACACGCAATATACATATTTGATACGTGTAAGCCCCGCGAAATACGTGTATTATTAACAAATGGTCGATACATCACCATCGATTTTTCCTTGATTTCGCTTTCGTTACTCCCCGTTCGTTATTCCGCACTTCCCATTTCGAAAAATACGCGGATAAATTACGCGCAAATCGGCGCGACGCGAAATGTATACGTAATTTTAAAAGAGCTAATCGCCGTCCGTAAAAATACCGCCGACGAAACGATAATTCCCGCCGTCTCTTTCACCGCCATCCCTCAAAGGAACAAATCGCGCGGAATACCCAAGTCTCGCCAAGTAGCCATACGCTCCCGCACGTTTGCGAATTGCGTAACGTAAAAGCTAATCAATCGCGTGAATTGCTAATTGATAATTGTTCATGGAAAATTATCGCATTCTCCCGTCGGTGGTATTGCGCACTAAAGGATAATGAGCCGTTGCCAGCCGGGTCGAAGGTAGCCGCGCGAATGACGACACACGATAGGCTCGCGCTACCGCGCGAACAACAAAAACGCGACAACAAAAACAACAAGTGCTCGCCCGCCTCACACATCATTCATCAACAATCATTCATCGCGCACACTATCCAAATAAAGTGTATAACCCTTCAAAAATATACATACTCTAATATACATATTCTAATTACTACGAAATAAATGGACTGAATATTCCGTTCTTAAGTCCACGATGCTAGAAATATTTACATATGTAAGTTCGAGATCTCGGATGAAAAGAGAATTGACCAATTGCGTTTGAATAATTCGGCCAATGTGATTGATCAATTCTCTTTTCGTCCGAGATTTCAGACGATTTCGAAGATTTCGGATATCGATATCTAGCATGTCGTGGTCACAAGGCTTTAAGAATATTCTTGCTCTGCGCGCAATAAAATAAAGGAAATATATATTAGGGACAGAAATAAGACAGAAATAAATATTAAATTTTGGAAATAAAAATTCAAAATAAAAAAAAAATAAACGCAATGCATAATGGACACAAATAAGTTTAAGTATAATTTAAAGTTATATTTTATATGTATTTGTGTCCATCGCGCTCGTTACCCTCAAAATTAAATCACTCTAAAAAGCTACAAAATAAATATGTATGTATTGAATATTTCGTTCTTATTAATTATTAATTATTTCAACGAATTTGCACATTTGCTTCATTTTGTAGATTCATTGCTTAATTAATTCAATTCATTTTAAAAGCTTAATAGAGATATTATCATGTATTAAATTCGTAAATTTTGATAAATATGCTGCAAACTGCACTATATATAATACACAGTAAAATAAAATCGATACGTACACATATTCGTGAAATTAAGTCTATTATAGATAATCTATAATTTGCGTTAGAATTCCGAATAAAATTCTCATTATAACTTTACGTACCACATAATATAAAGAACCTTTAAAAATCAGAATATGTATGCACATATAAAATATTTGTAATATATATTTGTATTATAAAGTACCACATATAAATAAAATTAGAAATTAACATTAAATTAATTTAATCCTAAAATCTGACGCAAATTACAGATTATTTAAAATAAGCTTCACAAACAAATTATATTATCTTCCTTTTTTAACAAAAATATCAGTTAATTGCTTCACTCTTTTGTAGAGTTATTAATTATTTATTTACAAAATAATAATATTTACGAAGACTAAATTTTATCTTTAAAAAAAGCATTAAATACCTAATAATTTTTTAAAAATAATAGAATAATTAATTTAAATATATATTAAAAAAAAATTAAATAATTTGAAAGTAATTAAAAAAATTTACTATAAATCAAATCTATTCTTATATACATAAGTGCACGTGATACTTATAAAAAATTAAAGAAAAACTAAACTAATATTGATTACCGTGCTGTAAAAATTAATAACAGCTGACAAATCACTCCGCGTATACGCGTATAAATTATAGGTTTGAGTTATATCGATCGGCCAACTTCTTACAAGTTAAAAACTATCGTGACTTCAATATTTTTGTATCAATTAACTTTCAACTTTAATTAATCTCCATAATATGCTGCATATCAAATAATGATTGTAGGACACCCTGTATGCGACGAGAATCGGATTGGCGTGATCCTTGGAATCCGTAACACGTGAACGCGCTAATAATAGATTTCCTATTCACGTACGTCGCAGGATAATTCACATCGCGTGAAAACGTATGCACGTGCACTTGTGAGAGCAGGAAATTTCATTTTATCCATAATAAGTATACGATAAGTATACGTTGAGTGGTGACCATAAGAAAATCATTTATGTGATACGCGGCTGATTTCACCGGCAACGGTCAACTTTAGTCTCAGTTTAACTGATCTCCCATCTCCTTTTCATAATCTCTCCGGCGAAACCGGTCATCAATTTTGTAATAATACGTACGAAGATGAAAGTTGCGCCACCCGGTCGCATTTTTTGTGGGCCACCTAACCGATGAGCTAGATTGATTCATAAGAGAGCTATGAGACTTTTCGCAAATATTGATGTTGATAAAGCAATGATTGCAACTCGAAACTGCTATCGATGTGCATCTAGTTTTTTTTTTTTTTAATATAGAAACATATCGCATATTAGAAATCAAATTCGTTCGCGAAAGTCAGATTCGTTTCGTCGAACGAAAATTCTATAGGCGATTATTATAAAAAAATAACCGCGCTCGCGCGGTTATTTTAAATCGTATCACAAATTTTATTGGAAATAAATTGCAAATTAAAAATTCGACAAATTTCGCTGACATTCGTGCAAGGCTCGTTGAAAAAAAAAAAAATATTCTCCAACGGAGAGACCTGTCCTGCTCGGAGCGATCGTCGCGGCGCTTGTTTCGGCGCTGAAATCGAGCGTATAAACGTGCGTGCACGAGCGCTCACTTTCGCTGGAACTTCCACGCTCGCACTTCTACACACGCAAGTGCACGCGCGTGCAAGCGCAGGAGCGACGGTGACTCGTGCACAGCACAGCAAACGCTACCGGCGCGACGACGGTTTTTCATCTTGTCAGTCAGCCTTCCTGCTCTCACGAGAGCGGGTCGATCGGCCTCCTTTTCCGCATTTTTCGCGGCGATCCTTGTCTACTTGGAGCTGTCACGCGCGCGAACGATGAAGTGCCGTGCCGCGACGAGCCGAGCCCCGACGATGATGCGCATCGCCCTCGTCGTCGGGGTGGCGATGGTGCACGCGTCGCCGGCCGAGCCCTTGCCCTCCAGCTTGCTAGGCGGAATCGGTAATGTCGCGAATACCGCAACTAATTTCCGTAAGTTGATCTCTCGACGTCAGTCGTATCGATACCGAGTTTCGTTTACTTCAAAATATTTCGAAATATTTACATTAGCAAATACGCTAGAATAAATATTATCAAAACAAATTACAACCAAGCTCGATAAGAAAAATAATACGTTAAATTTAATTAATTTTAAACAGTATTTACATTAATTTTCTCTAATAATTGTATATACTGCGTAAAATATTTGATAAATAAAAATTATATTAATTAATATCTTGGTGAATATAATTAAGATTGGCAAAGTAAATAGTAATAAATATTACGTAATTATATAAAATTACAAATACAAGAGATAATATAGAAATTTATATTTATACTTGATAGATTTGTAACAGCAGCAAGAAGTACAGTTTAATTTTGGATAAATCAAATGATTTTGTCATCGTAATTTTATGTTGCATAATTTAAATTCATGACCTAACACAAAATGTAATAGACATTACCTATTCCAATGACGACGAGAGAAACTATTTCGATGACTTTATAATCGATGATGAGGTCAAATTAATTCGTTTAGTTATGCTAATCAAAAACCAATTAATTCAAACTTGAGTTTCTTCAGATTCAGATTTTTATTTAGATCAATGATTTAAATTATAAATGGCTAATAAATACTGGATTTGTAAACAGTTTTGAAGAATTTTGATCTAAGCATCACAATAAATAACGATACTCGTAAAGAAGCATTGTAGCGTAAGTTCAATGAAAGTGAAAACGTAAATACAGCGATACAACGATATCAATTAAGGATGAGGCGATGGATGGAAAGTTTAAGTAGGCAGATGTTAGATAACGATATTAGAGAGCTATGAAAAGGCCTTTCCTCGCCAGATAGTTGAAAGTATTTGATTGATGGAAGTAAGACGTGAAGGTAATCTTTCCGAGTCGCCATATTATTTAAATAATAATCTCCGAATCGAAATCACGTAAGCCGCGGGAGTTTCCCAAACATCGCGGTCGACTCGCCATCAATTTGCATAAATAGCTGGTATAAATAAATGCGCAATTTATTGTAACGCGCAGTGACCTATAATTTTTAATCGAATGCAAAATAGATTACATCTACAGATTATTCCAATTCGATTGACCTCTTTGATAATAATTCATGCACACCTCTCATGCGGAATGATAAATGTTTCGTACTGATGTGTTTTTGTAAAAATGTAAATTGCATTAACAAACACCTCGGAACGGGACGATACGATAAAAGCATTCGCGATAACTTGTACGTTGTTAACGTAAACTTTCAAGATGACATTACGATATTACGTAATTGCTTAGAAAATAGCCGCGGTTCAAACGTAGATAAACTCTCTCTATTCGGACTGTCGTGTCGGATTCGTGTCGACGGAGATCGTAAGCCACGATCGTTAAGGTGCGTCATTATTTCTTGTAATCATTATAAGCATTATGAACATTAAATTATATTCAAAGATACAAACATATTTAATTTAATTTAGATATTTTTCGCGTGAAAAATCGATTATTTTTAACAATAAACATGTTGTAGACTCAAGTAAGTAAAATTAAACTCAATTAATTAATTCAAATTTAAAAAATATTGATTGAATCGATAAAGGAAAATCAGACCTTGTCAATTCGAATTAAATAAATCACTAATAAATTAAAGGCTGAAAAACTCAATAAATGTAGCTGTTTTGTCACGTTGTCTGTTAACGTTGAAGAAAACAAGTTGGCACATTTATTCCCGGAAGCAATGATGATTCAGATTCGTTGCATTCATTATGCAGAACGGTTCACATGCATACGGAATATTTATACGGATATTTATACGGAATGGTAAATTTTTCATGATACAGCATATAAGACCAAAGATGCTTTTTATTCGTTAACGTCGGCATTAGTCACATCTGTATTTACGAATGCAACTATTTTACACATCGCTGTGTTGAATACATAATGACACGGATTATGCAGACACGTGCGCTGTATTAATATACATTAACACGACTTTTATTTATAATCTCAAAAAAATCTCGCAAAAAAAGTTATAATATCCGCAGAGCTATAACTATTTTTTCGATTATATTTTAATTGAAAGTATAAAATTTTAATAAGTCAAGCGACATTTTATTATTCTTTGAAATAAAAAATAAAACACAGTATATGCTTTTTCTCGTAATTTTAATAAGTAAAATAATTAATAACAAATTTAATAAATTTAATTTCTTTTTAATCAAAACTGGAAAAAATACGTATCGAATATTATTAAACGTTTTGATGTTAATTAAACTGTTTTATTTGATTTTCGTCAATCAGTTCGTCTATCAATTTATGTAACGATATCACAATATAAAAATGATATTTACAATTATTATTGCTAATAATCTTCTGTTACGTTGTCATATAAGTGCGTTAAAAATGATACTGAAATTGACACAGACACTGCATGATTTTTACATACAGCTCTGATATATCGATCGAAGAAAAACATCTGAGCGGAGCAAATCAAACGTAACGGTTCGTAACTGTTGATTAAACCGCATAAAATCCTACATTCCGTCGAATCGCGACGAATCCAGCGAGAACGCAATCGTTTTATTCGATAACTGCTTTTTATTAATCCTTTTCGACGTAATCCGCTATTGTAAGTTGCAGTAATGCACGCGCGTTAATTCCTGCGTTGTTACAACAGAATGAAATCGTTGCTTGAAATTCGATTGATCATTTAATTATCATACCAGAGCCGCCGATACGTCATTTAATTCGCATCAATCTTCGATCCACGAAGGCCGAGCCACACGCTCGAAAATTCCTTTGTTGTTTCTGAAAAATAAAATCCCTGCTTGGAATTCCATTAATCATTTAATTACCATATCAGATCCGCCGGATACATTTAACTGTTCTCGGCCAAGAGGCCAATTCACCGATTCACCGATTCTCCGATGGTCGATCTTGCATCCGCAATCAGCGTGCCGCCGACAAACGGTTTAATTAACGCGTGCGAATAAAGGCGCCTTGAGGGTTGATTGCCAAATGCAACGTGCACGAAGCCCGCGAACATCCTCTGTGTTGCATGATAGGCATTAATATCAAAGTAAAAGCATTCATGCGAACTAGAGTCTGATTTATCTTTAGTTGCGAGAAGAAGAATAGGAGAAAGCGCGGTATCGTGAGAAAATATGAGACATGCATATTTTAAACATCATTTCTATGCAATATCATAATTTATATTTGCGTTAATGAGGATACAAAAGGAAATTATAGATT